CTTTTTGCATTTATACTCTGAGATATTTAATGTTATAACAGTTCTCAACTTTCGGGAGAAATGCTTATTGTAATTAAAGTTATCTATCAAATAGTTTATCACTTATCACATGAGACGCCACAATTCAGTAGGCAAGACATTTTTGTTCCCGATTTTGATATGCGAGTTGTGAGTGAATATTTGTTGTGAGTTTTCAATAATTTAAATATAAATGAAAATTCCTTTCTCGGGGTATATTTATTTCACCAAAGATTTTCAAACTATATGTAAGCAAGCTTTGTTGTTCTTTCTGGTAATCTTTCTATATATTGCTGAAATATATTTATCATTTAATGCAAATTAAAACATGTTCTACAATAAAACATATTAACATTAAGGACACAGATAAACATCGAAAGAGCAGTACAAATGGTTATTTAATTCTAAAGCAAATAGGAAAAATGCTCTTCGAGACAAATCCAGATAATTCGATTCCATCAAATGAAATACGTTACAATTTGACGTTTCAATTTAGACTTTAAAGGATTTTTTTTCTCATATAGACTAAAAAGGTCATACGTGAAATATGAATTATGACATTAAGATGGCACTGCTGGTTGGCGTTACGTGCCAAAGAGTATCAACAGTTTAGTAATAAGACCTTTTGGGTTGACATAAAATATCATTATTATGTTAACTCTCTGTAACTTATTATTAATAAAATGTTGAAATTGTCTGTAACACTAAGGCATAGATTACATTAGCCGTATTGGCAAAACTTTTCGGAATTTTCGGTTTTGTGATAATATTAGAAAACGGACACGGATAAGAAAAAAAAACAATGTCAAAATGTTCAGGCTTTAATTAAATCTTTATTTGGTAAGTTGATGCAAGCGTACGACCATATTGTTTCTTATACTGTAAGCAACAAATAATGTTTAACGATTATATTAAAGTAGTGATAAACACTTTAATAATGAGCTATGAAAGTCAAGGAGTTTGCGCATTATTTTGGGTAGGTTTTGAAAAGTTTCAAACAAATATACTCTACTGTGGGTTAGCATTCTTTAAGCGTCACTATCCTGTAGAATAACAACTGTTGATTACATTGATAATTTTGCTTTGAATCTTCATTGAAGCTGGAGCACGAATGTTGTGTTAATTAATTCGTGTGGTGTGTCATTTCTATGCAAGAGTGACATCCCTTTGAATTATGTTTCAATTCTAAAAAGTATATCGAATCAATGTGTTTATTGTCTCCCTTGAACAGGTTCACAATTTCATCTTAACTTATGATAGTTATCTGATTAATTTTAAATCAATACAAAATTTATAAATTTAATAGATCATAGTATTTATCATTCTATTTGGTTTAATAAAGACGGTATGTACAAAATGTATATCTATAATTTATTTATTAGTTTTGAAATGTAAAAAAAAACTGTGATATACCAATATGAAGAACCTTTTATATTTTATAAATATTATTTAGTTACATATTTAGTTACGTAGTAAGATGAGGCAATCTACTGTGAGAGTGCAGATCGTTTTCCTCAAACAAAACGTAGAATTGTATACTTTCAAAGCTGTATCTTATTCCATCTACCCTCAATCAGAACTAAGATGTAGTCTAAAACAATGTGACGTGAATTATTTTAAGTGATTTAGTGAGATAGAAAGATTTCTACTTTCGATATGTTCAAATATCCTCAAAGTGCCCGTCAGATTCCTTTTTCGACCATCTCCATACCCTGGTATCTTGTTAACCCGTTTCCCTGTAATATTCCCCCTTTTCATAATATGCTTTTGTCGATTTAGGTTATTTCTTTTTCGCTTTACCAATTAAGGGTTCCTCTCCATCAATCCATGAAATTATGCTTACTGGTGATATTGGAAAATATTTCAATCTCATTCAATGGAAAATCAATTCCAAAGTTTAAACTAGATCCATTTTTATAGAAGTGCAACTTTTGATTTCTGAAAAAAAAACAATGAAGTCTTTTATTTGGGCTCTCTTTGTCATATCAAATGTTGCTATGAAAAGTCTATTCTAAAATGGCGAATTAATGGAGATATAAAATGTTATTTTGATTTGTTTGCATTCTTCCTACACTTAACAGCAGTTTAAATGTGTCTATTCAAATAAGACATGCCTGCGTATTTCTACATCCTGCACATCAAATAGACACTCCCCTTTCAGTATGGATACCACTACCAGAAAGGAACATGTTACAGAAGTATATCCACAAGACAATATGTTTTAAAATTAGTTTTAGAAACATCTTACTGAGGTCCATTAAAGTGCATAATGAAATAAACATTATATTTTATATTATTTATGTCAAAGTTTCTGAACATTTGGTTTTTTTAAGACACAAATGTAAATATGAACCTTAGATAATCCCGCCCTCTTATTCCCGATTGTGTTCACTGAATAAGACTTATCACCACATGTGGAACAGGATCTGATTACCCTTCCGGAGCACTGAGACCACCCCCAGTTTAAAGTTGGGTTCGTTGTTCTGAGTCTTTAGTTTCGTATGTTGTGTTTTGTATAAAGTAATTTGTCTTTTGGTCCGTTTATTATTTTATTTTTGCCATGGCGTTGTCGGTTTATTTTTGACTTATGAATTTGAATATCCCTTTGGTAAGTTTCGCCTCTCTTTTAGAATATTTGCTCACAAAATCAGTACTGGGTCTGAACCTGCGATTGGATGAGATAACATGTAAACTGAAGCATGACTGATCCTTCTCCTTCCATAGAAGCCAAGAAAAGTCTTTTCTTGTACAGCGAGTGTTGAAAAATTTCAAACTATTGGCAGACAGGAAGTGATTACATCGCTGATGTAAAAAACAAAAACATTCACATAACTCAAGAGGAGGACCAAATATAACATTATTCCCCTCCATAGAGGCCAAGATAATTTAACGAAAGATTCGTACAAAAGGTCTTTCGGACGGAGTGGAACAATACTATTACTAGACCTGCTTCGCCGATGGCTGTGCAGGTAAAAATACCTTTAAAAAAACAGTTCCTTTTAATCCCCATCATTGGATCAATTCCTGATTTAAAAACCTCTTTACTTTTTTTTTGGTTTTCTTTTAATCTGTCAATGATAGTGTTGAAAAGGATTTAATATTAGTAAACAAATATATGAGCCCAAGTTAGTTTTGATAGAATTTTAATATTTGATTTCAATTCAGGTCAGTGATTAATTTTGGTTTTTCCAACACTACTTGCATTTTGCAAAGTAAAAGAAAAATAGAAAATAAAAGAAAACATTTATTTTGAAATCAAAAAGATTTCGCAAAATTCCATTTTCAATTGTTTTTATATAACAAAGGTCTTACCAGAATTGTAACAGTTACGGACCTGAAATACATGTGTGTAAAATCAGGTCCGGCCATCATCCCGATTTGTATACGGTTGGTGTGTTCACTACATGATATATCAAACTTTGTCAGCAAAATCAACATGATTCAAACAAAATATAAAACCTGTGTTGGATGCCTGATTTTGATATAATGACAATTTGTGTGTAACGTTTGGAGGGAGTGATGTTTTAGCAACAAATCGGCATGTATTTTGGAACCAATATATATTCAATAAACACCTGCATATGAAGTATATACATCACACTTGTTACGATATTTAAGAGTTTGTGTGTTCTATCATAATTTCCTTAAAAGAGGGTAGCTGCATACAACGAAGTCATTGAACCGAGGATGCTAATTGGTAAAGTTGAAGTCATTCCTTCAAACGTTCTATGGAAGCCATCATAAGTTGGTTTACCTTTATGGAATATTTGTGTCCAAGATGACACCGGATATGTCCCACATTCATCGTTTCCTTGATTGCGACATCACTTAATGAGACTTAATTTCAAATTTGAGCTTACCATGAGCAAGACGATGGTTGATTTACTTCGCAAAACCTTTTAAAATATGGATAATGTTTACAATTAAGCATGCAACAGTTTATCCAGTTTTGATTAATTGTAAATGTCTGCAGAATTTTGTCATGAGAATTTGAACGTGAGGATTTTAATTTCCCATTTAAAGCACCGCAGAGATCTGTTGTTAAATCCAAATATTTTTCGTGAATGTGGGTGATGATGTCTAAACATTATCTGTATCTAACCTCAGATTTAGAATTTGTTGTTAGCATATAAGTGTTGATAAGGCAAAGATTTTGATTATTGAGTTCGATTTTGATTGCCATAGTTCTGGTATTTAAATCCGGAAGTTTTTGTATACATTTATTCATAGTATGCGGCCACATAATTGCAGTTTCAGCTTGTCCACGTGGAGACTTAAAGTTGACAATAAGGTCATCGTCGTCATGGGAACGAATGAATACGGTATGAAGAAGAAAATGTGTTTGTAAAAAGTCCTTTTCGAAATCCCAAAGCAAATAATTAATGAACGATCTTTTGCCAATTCTTTTAGGTAGTTGATGTTTGTTTTCGTTCCCTCCACATTAAAATTTAATAGTTTTAATCCCGGGTGAAAATCAAGTGGTCTTTGGCGATGTCTGGCGCTTTTTCCCGAGGCGGGAGATATAAAAAATTATTTCCTAGATTAGACTGGCCATTTTTATTCTTTTCCTTGTTGTTCTATGTGTCTCCCATTAGGCTAGAATACTGTTTTCAGCTAAGCTGTTATTAACTTGGTCCACTGCCAGTTTAGCAGCTTGGAACATCCATGCTGACTGGTCAGATTTTCTAGAATATAATTCCATATAATTTATATTAATATGCATGTGTATTCAATAACATATAAGTTATGTTATTAAAACATAATCCTTATTATACTGATTTTTAAAAAGTTCATTGTTTTAAAGTAGGGCTAGTATTTTAAAAACCACGAGTTTAATAAACCGTGATGATCCTAAAAAATTGGATTCAAAAGATCACTTCACGCAATTAAACAATATAATATAAAGATCCAATTAATAGATTTAAAAACAAACGAGGGGTTACCATGAATCAACAATAAACGTGTAGACTTAAAGCGCTTTTCATATTCGTTTACATGTGATATGGGCTTTTGCTAAGAATGTATGTAAATAATAAATCATGACTGTTTGTACTTTAATATAAACAAAAATTAAGAGGTATAGATCCAAATGATTACCTGCTTGTGACGTAGAGAAAGTGACAGTATATTTCAAACTTACAAACTGCTATTTAAAGCTGGTTACTAAGGAAAAAGCCTTTCACTGACGGATTCAGTATTAATAGCTACGAAAGTGTAGAGAAAAATGCCAAGATCTGAAGAAACAAATGTTAAATCCGTTACTCGAAATAGCTATCGAGATAGAAAACCTATTGGGTATGTTACGATAGAACAAGCAGTTGATGAAAAGACTTTTCAAAGACTAACATATATAGACTCCCGACAGGAATATGTAGTTCAACGTCATTCACCGCGAAACGTCGGTTGTCAGATGAACACAAATTACGAGATACTACTATCAAGACGCACCTCTCCTCCGACTCCAACACCGCCACCATCACCACCACCGCCACAGCCGTCACCGCCAGCACAGTGCGACGTCGGTTGTCAGATGACCACAAATTATGTGATACTACTATCAAAGCGCATCCCTCCGCCTCCGCCACCACCACCACTTCCACCGCCACCACCACCACCGCCACCACCACCAACGCCACCACCTACTAAAAAGGTAATTATTTACTTCTTATTTGACTGATGTCGAAAAAATCTGTATGAAGAGTCCTTTCATTCATATTGTAAAGACTACAAAGATCATACGGATATAGATCAAACAATACTTACTCTCATTTTCTAATGTCGTCCTTTTGAATTACATGAATCTATTCAATATTTTCGGGCTGATAATTTCATTTTCTGGGTTCTGTTATTCAACTTGTCGTTAAACTTATCATATGATTAACTTTATCGAGCCGTTCAAACTTAATCGCATGATCAGTAAAAACAATGATTTAATTTTGTTGTTCAACTTTTATCATTGTATTATTTAATCACTTTATTGCATATTCAATTTGTGCAATAAATATACAATTATAGATTTGTTTTGTTTCATTCCTTCGCCAGAATAATATAAACAACAAACAATTGAAATTTGGCTTATTATTTGTCATGGCATTTATTCAACAATATTCAACAATATCAACCAACAAACAACCAACATCAACAAACTGGCCAACAAGTTAAAACTTGATGACAATTGGTCACTGAAGGTAAAACCAACAGTAAATGCATAATAATTTCTAGCTGCTGGGCAGATCCATAACAGCTCGATGAACAATATTTGAATAAATCACTGCCAGTTGAATTAATGTGATGATGACATCCAACGCACTTTCCATATAGAACGTAATGCCATGACGATAGACATTTTTTTTTTTTTTATTATTACTGCAAATTTCTTGAATATTCAGGTTTCATTGAATCTGCCGATGAATGTTGAAACGTCCGACATTTTTGATGATATATGACAATCTAATTGAAATATTCAATACATGTGGATCTGTTTACCATGTAATCTGAAAAATAAACTTAAAACAGCAGCAATTTTGTTTATTAAAGGGAGGGAGGGTGGGTTGTGCAATTCTGTTGAGAAATAATCATTGAATGAAAATTGAGCGGGAACACGTGTTTATATATGACAAAAGTCCACGAGGCGCTTCAAAGCATATTCTTTCGTATGTTTAAATATATGGTTGTAAAGATTTAAATGGCAAACCGTAAACAATGGACTGACTGTACAATCGAAACTCAATAAACAAATACATGTATTTTGAATGCAATAAATCAATTTAATTATTAGATCATTAAATTTTATTATTGCATATTCAATTTGTGCAATAAATATACAATTATAGATTTGTTTTGTTTCATTCCTTCGCCAGAATAATATAAACAACAAACAATTGAAATTTGGCTTATTATTTGTCATGGCATTTATTCAACAATATTCAACAATATCAACCAACAAACAACCAACATCAACAAACTGGCCAACAAGTTAAAACTTGATGACAATTGGTCACTGAAGGTAAAACCAACAGTAAATGCATAATAATTTCTAGCTGCTGGGCAGATCCATAACAGCTCGATGAACAATATTTGAATAAATCACTGCCAAAATTGGCATTTTATTGAACTCTCAATCAAATGCTAATCCGCCATGACAATTGAATAAGCAGCATAAATTAAACGAAAATATATCAACTAGTTGTTATTCATTTCAACATACAACAAATATAAACAAACATCATTCATGCATCGGATAAACAGAATTATTTGGTATATTATCAAATTGTTCTAAAGCAGTTTGAAAAGAATTCAAAACTATATCATTGCCAATAAACGATAAATGTACTCCATCATGACTAACCAAAGATAAGAGTTTGACTTCAAAATCAGAATGAATTATAGTGTAACCCCCAGTTTAATTAAATGTGATTGAACTCCCCTATTTGTACGTTTCCTGGTTGCATCCATTGCTTTTAAATCTTTTGAACATCTTCATTTCAACCTTGGTAATATGCTTGAAAAAATAATTTAACTTCCATTCACCATACGTCCAACTATATCTAGCATAAATTAAATATAAAATAAATTTTTTTGCACAGTTTACAAGTCTAATTTCATTGCCACCACAGTGAAGCAAAACAGCATCTGGTAAACCCCCACCATGTATCACATTCTCTTCTATTGGTACAAAATTATATAGTGACATACCGGACATTCCTGCCCACATCAACTTGTATGTAACTGTAAGTTATCTGCAAATGTTTTGACAACACAATGTTCATCATCATTATCATTTGAAGACAACATTAAACTTGTCGAACAACCAATTTGATCCTTCTTAGAAGACATAATTGTAACAAAAACTTTAGAACTAATATCATCAAATTTAATATCTGAATTTTTTTAAACATGATCATCAGTTTTGTGATTTCTCTAATTCTCATAAATCCAAAAAAGGCTTAAGCAAATCCTCCCCTAAACATTTACAAACATTGAAGAATTAATTCAAGTTGTTTTAATACATCAACAGTAATAGGTTTTCTTTTACTTTTTTACCTTTTAACATTATTTTCAAAATAAATGATTTGCTATAATCATTTCAATTATTTATTTTCAACTTATGATTTATTCCTGATAGATATGTTTTTGAAGGTTATAGGAATAACTATTTATGAAAGCTATGTAATTTAATTGTATGATTAACAAGAGGTGGCCAACTTTCCTCTATTCGAAAACAGGTCAGAAATTTATGAATGAATAGATGCATTTTCATACACATCCATTGTATTTGAAGAAACAGATTGCCTTAAAAGTTTATTCACTTCATCTTTAAAAGGTTCCAGAACTCCACTGGAATTGGATGTGGAAAATCGCTGTCAAGTGGTGCAGACATTGAAATTTCTGAAAATTTGCACGAGATAATGCATCAGCAATTGCATTGTCCTTTGACAAAATGTGAACAGCTTTAAACTGAAAATTACCAATTAGTGAACAGTGAATAATTAAACTAAAAACGGACGAAACTAGTTAATATTTTCTTGACATTTTGTTTAAAACATTCACTACTGCCAGGTTATCAATGGGAAAAAGTATGTTTCTTGTATAATTTATCAAACCAGTGTTATTGGAATGATTTCAAAATATGTTATATCTTCAATTATTTCTGAACTATTACATTCTTTATGCCACTCAATTGAGCATTAATATAAATTGCACACCCTTTACCTTATTCACCAGCAGTATCTGTATATAGTTCAAAATAAAAATTTGATATCCATCCTATATCATTTAAATACGAAATCCTATTATACTGTTCCAAAAATAATTTCTATATCAATAGATAAAAGTGAAACGGATTTGACACTTTGTCCATGGTCGAATACAACTAAACGCTCTTCCATCAGGTATAGCCTTCGTGCAGAAAACTAATGAACCACATATTGACTGCAATTCTTTTAACGTTACTTTTTTCATGGCTTATAAATTATTAATTCTGTTTAAAATTTCTTCAATCTTTTCATGTGGAATTTAAACAAGCATATTAACAGTATCAATTGTAAGACCCAGATATTCAATCAGTGTAGTTGGACCTTCATTTTTTTTTTTTGCAAGTGAGACTACAATATCTTTGCAAATTTCATCATTCTGAAACATCAGTTGTTCACATTCATCAGAATCTGATTAGCCAACAATATTAAAATTCTACCAAATAGTGGTCTATATTATTTAAACCAGACTTATTTTTAAAACCAATTCAAAAAGGCTAAAAACTTCTCAAATTTAGCATATGAAATTGAGCAGCCCAATGTCATTGCCTCGTCTATGTAGTATTCATTTACAATTTTAAAACCAAATTAGTCAAAATCTCATGTATAAACCGGAAGTAATCAACAGCATTATCAAATGAAGAATATTTAACAGAGGTAAACCTTTCATCGATGAAGTCGTTAACGCTGCTCAATGGCTGATATGATAAATGGGTAATCAGACGAAAAACCTGTTTTTTTTTTTATTTATTTATTTTTTTTTTTTTTTTTTTTTTTTTTTTTTTTTTTAACTAATCCAATAGGAGAATATCTAAGATTAGATATTGGTCTCTTACAAAGAGCACCTGCTATTCTTCATAACGATATTTCAGATTCAATCTTACATCTAGCTCCAATAGGATTTGTCAAAAAAGATTTTAATTTTTTGATTCAAGTGGAAATCTTGGTCAATTATGATTCAATCTAAATCCAAATTTAAAACCAATAAACAAAATTTGTTTGTCCTGTTCATTAGGATAATCTTAATTGTTCAATATTAAAGATGAATGTCTCTTCTTCCAAATATCATATTTATCCTTTGACAATTCTGAAAGAAAAGTTAACTATATGTCATTTGATTAAATCTAGGGACGAAATACCTTGTGTTTATTGGTGACCTATATCTATTTGTTGAACAAATGAAGGCCTGTTTTGTCGAAACTGGTTAGACATATGAGATCTATTTTGGATAAACACAGGTGGCATCAATGATCCCTTATGATAACCTTGGTTACTTTGTAAGCTATCAAATCTAACACATAAGACTGGATGTTGTAATGAACATTTCATACAGTTATGTCTGTAAAACACTTGAGATTTCTGACAATAACCTTTAAAGTTATAGTCATAACAATGTTTTTGTAAGTTAGCCTGGCAGACTACAGGATTAGGTGTGCCTTGCGATCCCTTTACAATGAATTTCAACCAAAGAAAGCCATCAATCTCAGACAAAGATTTAGAGTGTTTTAGTGATACACTTAATCTAAATTTTCTATCATACGGGTAAACTCTGTCAAAATGTGCATCTGATATAAAAACTCTTATGATTAACATGTATGTAAACAAGTCTTGTGTTAAGCCAGCATGTTTTTGAAGAAGTATTTTAGAAAAAAACTGCAAATGCTTCAGTCCATAATTCAATGGTATTTATTGTATTGTCCTTTGAAGGGTAATGAGAAATGACAAGCATTCCATTTTTAACCATTACGCTTTGTTTCTGATCCAAACTACTATAATATTGACTATTTTGTTGAAGAAGAGTACCAAAATCAACATTTTTACAATTCCGAATTTTCTCTATTATTTGCTGAGAAATAATTATGTCAATTTCATTAGAACATGGTATAAACAAAGGACAGTAGTATTTAAAGTATTACCCGGTTGAGCGTGAACTGCCGTAGTTTTCAGTTGTTTCTGAGGTGGAGGTTGATTATTGGGCTCCACAGGTTGATCTGGTTGTTGAAGCTCGGGCGCTGCACGCCTTCTTTTTCCGTGTCTTCCTCTGTTTACCACTCGGACAACTTCCTCAGGAACGGGTACCTGTTCTGGTGCTGGTACTTCACGAGGAGCAGGTCGTTGAACTCCAACGTTGTTTACCCTTGGTCTTAATCTCCGGCTTACTTCATTTCTTCTATTCTTTTATAAAATGAAGTCATTATAAGTATATTGTTTTCATAAATATATAAAGATGTTTTAATTTATGAAACATTACATTGATGCCTCGGCTGCATATAGATAAAATGCTCCGTACCTTAAATATATACTATTATAAATGTGTATATAATGTACGTCTCTTAAGACATCTATAAGTGTATAATAACCAGCAGTAATTTGAACGGCAGTTGTAAATGCCATTACATTTGTAAGAATCGTGTGTTCCATAACATCATAACAGGAATAATATCATTATCAATTTATTGAATCAAATTTAAAGAAAGCTTTATATGCACAATAACATGCAGCAAACTAAACAGCAGTTGTATTTATAATTAAATAAATGCCGTCACATTTGTAATAATCGGGCCTTCCGTAACTTGAATAACCGGTATTTCAGTGTCAATTTAGTACCTGAATTATGTGCAGGTAAAGAACATAAATTAAAATAATGTAACTAAGCGTATAATTGTCAGCAAGCCTACACAAGTATTCCATAGCTAATTATACATGAGCATATTTATTGCTACTATGGTAAAATATAAAAAACAAAAACTTACCGATAGAACTGTGAATTAAATGCAAGAACCATAAGTAAATGAAAATGAATGGTCATAAATAAGCACATATATATATATATAAATCTAATTAAAGTGACATTAAACAATTCATTAATTTAATAATGAACGTGATGAGAAACATATAATTATACGAACACATGCGAACACGTGTTAAACTTAAAGTTACCCGTTTTACTTTATCGTCACAGAATTTCAACTCACAGGTAAAAAAGGTTTGCTCTGTAAATATAAACCAAATTATTATAGTAAATTAAAATGAATAAAAGGAAACATATCTAAAGTATAACGGATAAACTTAACCAACTTATCTTATTTACGCTCTGGTCCTATCCTTGTGCAATTCTGTTGAGAAATAATCATTGAATGAAAATTGAGCGGGAACACGTGTTTATATATGACAAAAGTCCACGAGGCGCTTCAAAGCATATTCTTTCGTATGTTTAAATATATGGTTGTAAAGATTTAAATGGCAAACCGTAAACAATGGACTGACTGTACAATCGAAACTCAATAAACAAATACATGTATTTTGAATGCAATAAATCAATTTAATTATTAGATCATTAAATTTTATTATTAGTTTTTAGTTATCATTCGATTAATTTGGAAACAAGTGATTCCCACAATGCATTGTAAAACGGTACTCATTACTTCTTTTTTTTATTTTACCTAGTTTTTGGGTGTCAAATATTATTGAATGTAAAATTTTTAAACATGTTCATATTTTAATGGTAACATATTACTATTTTAGTTTAATACAAAAAGTAAAATCACAAAAATTTTTAACTCCCAGGAAAATTCAAAATGGTAAGTCCATAATCAAATGGCAAAATTAAAAGCTCAAACACATCAAACGAATGGATAACACATATTCCTGACTTTGTACAATTGTCTGTTTGAGTTAAAAAAAAAAAAAAAGTGAAACGTGCTCTGAAGGGAAATTTTTCAGTAAATGCAGAAATTAACACATACTTTTTAACAGAATATGCTTAAGTATACATTTTGCAATAATAAACATTTGCATTACGGCCATGACTAGGGACAGAGTTCTTCTATTGTTTGTTCACATATCTTCTATCTGAAATGATGGGTTCGGATGGTAGAAAAATACCCAACAAATTGCATTCAACATATTCAATGAGTAAAATAAATTTTTATAAGAAAAAGTTTCAATCATTGTTTAAAATAATTTTACTGTGCAGCATGTGACTGTTCCAAATCGTTGGTTGCATAACAATGTACCCTTATTGAATTTTCATAGAATTTGATATTGATAGCAGATAACTTGAAGTCTTTGTTTAATTGATGTTTCCACATGATAATTCCTTCAAAAACCTGTAATTTCTGTAATTAATGTAGTACAACTCTCTACAGAGTTATTAACGCTTTTTGTTTTATTAATGACGAAATCGTCGTAACGTAAAATCATTGGAATGTAATCTCTGTTTACGCTTTGGCAAAGACGTCTGCATTTCTATCAAGTAGGACATGCCAAGTTAACTTTTTAGATAAATATTACGGATGGTAAAAATTAACTACAGAACTGTGACTGATAACATTCATTGTAATGCATACGGCACAAGGAGACACAATGTGACAATTTTAATTATTCAATTTTGTAATTGTTATGCCATAATACACAGTGGTTTAATTTGGAAATTAATATTTTTTATTTCAACTGAATTGCGATGTATCGTTATATTTATTAACAATACCCTGAACATTTTTTACAATTTGCAAATAAAAACAATTATTATAAAGAATAAACAAAAGTATAAGACACTTTGACATAACTTGGGTATCCGATATTCAAGCAAGATAGGGTTCATAATAGTAAATAAACAAATAAGTTGTGGTATGATTACCAATGAGACAACTATCCACCGGAGACCAAATGATGTAGAAGTTAACAACTATAGGTCACCGTACGGCTTTCTACAATAAGCAAAACTCATACCGAATAGTAAAAAGTAAAATCACAAAAATACTGAACTCCGAGGAAAATTCAAAAATGAAAGTCCATAATCAAATGGCAAAATTAAAAGCTCAAACACATCAAACGAATGGATAACACATATTCCTGACTTTGTACAATTGTCTGTTTGAGTTAAAAAAAAAAAAGTGAAACGTGCTCTGAAGGGAAATATTTCAGTAAATGCAGAAATTAACATATACTTTTTAACAGAATATGCTTAAGTGTACATTTTGCAATAATAAACATTTGCATTACGGCCATGACTAGGGACAGAGTTCTTCTATTGTTTGTTCACATATCTTCTATCTGAAATGATGGGTTCGGATGGTAGAAAAATACCCAACAAATTGCATTCATCATATTCAATGAGTAAAATTCATTTTTATAAGAAAAAGTTTCAATCATTGTTTAAAATAATTTTACCGAGCAGCATGTGACTGTTCCAAATCGTTGGTTGCATAACAATGTACCCTTATTGAATTTTCATAGAATTTGATATTGATAGCAGATAACTTGAAGTCTTTGTTTAATTGATGTTTCCACATGATAATTCCTTCAAAAACCTGTAATTTCTGTAATTAATGTAGTACAACTCTCTACAGAGTTATTAACGCTTTTTGTTTTATTAATGACGAAATCGTCGTAACGTAAATCGTTGGAATGTAATCTCTGTTTACGCTTTGGCAAAGACGTCTGCATTTCTATCAAGTAGGACATGCCAAGTTGACTTTTTAGATAAATATTACGGATGGTAAAAATTAACTACAGAACTGTGACTGATAACATTCATTGTAATGCATACGGCACAAGAAGACACAATGTGACAATTTTAATTATTCAATTTTGTAATTGTTATGCCATAAAACACAGTGGTTTAATTTGAAAATTAATATTTTTTATTTCAACTGAATTGCGATGTATCGTTATATTTATTAACAATACCCTGAACTTTTTTTACAATTTGCAAATAAAAACAATTATTATAAAGAATAAACAAAAGTATAAGACACTTTGACATAACTTGGGTATCCGATATTCAAGCAAGATAGGGTTCATAATAGTAAATAAACAAATAAGTTGTGGTATGATTACCAATGAGACAACTATCCACCGGAGACCAAATGATGTAGAAGTTAACAACTATAGGTCACCGTACGGCTTTCTACAATAAGCAAAACTCATACCGAATAGTAAAAAGTAAAATCACAAAAATACTGAACTCCGAGGAAAATTCAAAAATGAAAGTCCATAATCAAATGGCAAAATCAAAATCTCAAACACATCAAACGAATGGATAACAACTGTCATACTCCTGACTTTGTACAGGCATTTTCTTATGTAGAAAATGGTGGATTGAACCTGGTTTTATAGCTAGCTAAACCTGTCACTTGTATGACAGTCGCATCAAATTCCATTATATTGACAACGATGCGTGAATAAAACAAACAGACACAATAGGTAAAAATGTCAAAAATAGGGGTACAGCAGTCAACATTGTGTTATCATCTTAATCACTATAAAAACAAACAAATGTAACGAAGATGCACAAAAAGGCATACATCAAATTTAACATCCTCGTTTTGCTTTTTTATTATACGATTTTATTTATCTATGTGAAATCCACCAAGTAAGCAATAAAAGGCCCCGAAATGACAACTTTAAAATAATTCAAACGTGAAACTGAAGAAAGCCTGATTTATGTACACTAGAGGCTCTAAAGAGCCTATGTCGTGTATCTACAACTTTAACGATGCCCACTTTGTAGTAAAAATCATTATTAAAAGGGAATAACTCTATTAAGAGTTAACTGATAATTTCAGTTATGTCGATCACGTTAACCTATTTGTAGATCCTGTCTTGCTGATCATTTTTGTTATTTCAAGTTCATTGAATCTTACATAGTTTTTATGATATTGGCAAAATCGTCATTATAGGGCAATAAATCTAATCTGAAGTCGACTGGATATTTCGGCCATGTTGACTTTTATTTGTAGATCTTTTCTTGTTGATCATATTTGCCTTTGAAAGTTTCTGTCTATCTGTTATAAGTTTCAAGATAATAGTGAAAGAAAATTAAAAATGGTTAAATTCATTCTTAAAAACACAATAACTCCTATAAGATTTATTATGGCAGTTTTGGCGTAAATAAACAAAAGGTAGAGCTCAACATTCTGAACAATTTTGCCCTGTCACATTTTCTCTACTTGAAGCGGTTTTCAAAATAAAAGACATTTAACCCCTATGTTATATTTTTAGCCATGTCGGCCATCTTCATTAGCACGCGAGGTCACCTTTTTTAAACAATGATGATTGTTGACAATCTTGGTTATTTGGCCCAGTAGTTTCCGAGAATATTTTTGTAAAAAATAACAGACGACGACGACGGACGACGGACACTAAGTGATAGGAAAAGATTACTTGGCCTCACAGGCCAGTCGGGCTACAAATCCTGTCGGGATATGTAACGACAAACGAAAACCACTGAAATAAAGTCTCTTGACTTGGGACAGACACATACAAAAAAGATTAAACAAAGAGCAGTTGTTATATGTCTGTCCTTTTTTTATAGTCTCTTTTAAATTTGGGTAAGATTATGCTACAACAGACCGATAACTATGAATAAAACATTTAAGGAATATGTTTATATTTCTGATTTTTAAAAGTTTTTGATGATTTACTTGTGTTCAATCTGAAGTTACCTGTTTTTATATGTCTATGTCAACTGATCGACAATGTGACTTATTGTTTTTTCCTCACTTTCTTCTTTCCTATTATTATTTTTTTCCACCTAGTTTTGTCCGGGCAATCCCTGGGTGTTTAGTGAACCAATCATAATAAATGGTTATCATAATGACGTCTGTTGAATTTTTTCAATGGCCGCAGTAATCATGGAAACGTCAAAAATGTTCAAACTGGATAAAACTTCATGGAAATATTGCCTGGCATACCTAGATGTGCTGACCATATTTAGAAATTCCCAAATGGCCGCCGTTACCATGGAAACCGGGGGATAGTTTACAAAAAAACCCTATTAAAAAAATCTTAAAGTAGCTTTTACTCACTTTACATGATAGGTCAAATACAATGAATCTATGCTACTTCTGTCTTTGAAATTTTGGAACGGTAAATGTTACCATGGAAACATCACAAATACAAAAAAGGCCAAAAAATTTCAAAATGTTCAAAATTTTATCAAACTTTTCAGAAATGTTAACTGGCATGTGGAGAGTTGCTATTGGACTTTGGAATTTTCAAAATGGCTGCCGTTACCATGGAAACAGCAAATATATAAAAAAAAAATCAAAATGCTGCAACCTGGGGATGGGTGACATACGCTTTTGCATGCAAAACTAATTCTAGTTTGTTAATTGCTGTCTGTCTTTGGCACCCCTTTTTGGTCATGTTTGTTTGTTTTAATCGGACTCATAATTTATTCTCCCCCCTTTCCACTTTTGAGACTTTCTCTCTTTTTCAACGATAACACGTGCAACTTCTTGTTTGCAATAAATTCTTTTAATTGCTCTCCCTCATATATATACATGAATCATTTGACACTGGATGTTCAGCAACAACAATCAATTAACTATATCTCCTCTAAA